AGGAATTTTAAGCCCTGGCGGACACAGGCAGGGAGCATGAGGGCACTCCAGGCCCGTGTCCCCCTGGGCAGGCCGTGGCCTAGTTGTGCCAGCCTGCCTGGCACTGCAGTGCCGCTGCCTGCCACTGTTCCTGCTGCTGCAGGTGGTGTTCCCGATGTCAGGTGTCCTCCACCCACTGTGCCTCCTCCACCCAAAACTTGCAGAAGAGCTGCCCCTGGCCTCACAGATGTTATGCAACACACAGGCTGCAAAGATGACCTGGGGGGGGGGGTTCATCTTGGCAAACTTGAGGTGTGTGGTGAGGGCGCACCAGTGGCCCTCGAGGTGGACAAAGGCACACTCCACCAGGGCATGGGTTGGCCCAGGCAGCACTTAAAGTGGGCCTGGTGGGGATCCAGCTGGCTGGTGTAGAGCTGCATGAGCCAGGGCAGGAACAGGTAGATGGGGTCTCTGATGGCACTCAGCTGGAGGTCCAGCACCCCCCAGTGCAAAGCGGCCTCTCTGCACCAGGGCTGGCAGAGCAGAGTTCCTGAAGATGTTGATGTCATAGGTGCTGCCCGCCCAGCTTGTGCTCATGTGCGTGAAGGCCCCATGATGGTCCATGATGGCTTGCAGCACCACAGAGTGAAAGCCTTTCTGGCTGTAATAGTGGTAGTCTCTGTGGGGCAGGCAGGTGACGTGGATGTGGGTTCTGTCCTGGGGCCCCATGCACTGGGGGAATCCCAGGGCACGGAACCCTACCACCGCCTTCAGGGGGGTGATGCACATGGTGCATGGTGTCCCCCAGTGTGTCTTAGAGGGCACCACATACCTCCAGAACAGCCCCCCAGTGGTGGCCTTGTCCACATCAAAGAAGTGGCTGACATACTGCAGGCTGGTGGGTGTGGCCGGCTTGAGCAGGGCAAGGACCAGCTGGGTGTCCATGGAGAGTGGCAGACACATGCCAGTATCCTGCCACTCCAGGTGTGGCCAGAGCTGCCCTAGGAGATCCTGGAAGGTGGCTCAAGTCATGCAGAATGCCTCCACTCACTGCTTGCCATCCCAGGCATGCTGGATAACATGCAGTAATCAGTCCTAGCTGGACCCAGTGGGCCAGAGGGGGCAGGGCTGGAGACCCAGGAGGGCGATGGTGGCCCCAGTGGTGACATCCTGAAGCCCATTGTTGGTGTCCCTGCCAGGGTCCAGCCAGGTGGACAGGGTCTAGGCAGCAGGTGGGTGGCACCAGCTCTGGGTGGCATGCGGTGGCTGGACAGGCCGTCAATGCATGTGAGGGAGCTGGGAGGGCCCAGACAACCATGGGCCAGCTGGCAGTCAGCACACTAGGCTAGCAGGAGCATAGGATGCTGGCTGTCGCTGCCAGGGGCAGGGGCTGGAGCAGCCATGGTGGACTCAGGCAGAGACGGTGAAGAGAGCACTGCTGTATGCTCCCTGTGCTGTGCATGTTCCTCTTGGCTAGGGAAGGGGCTGGCCAGGGAGCAGCAAGTGGGGCTGGCTTTTGAAGAGAGCTGTCAGCTGCTGGTAGCTGCAGCCAGAGCCTGGAACTCCCACCAGTGGTAGAAAGGGCCCATTGCAGGGCCCCAGAGAGCAAAAGACGATTGGCAGCAAATCGGCTCTCACTTTCCTGCATGTGTAGACACATGCCCGGGCCCCTTTCCTCGCAAGTAATTTACTTGCAAGTAAACTGGCGCAACATCAAATGCACATGCAGACACACCCAGCGATTCCTAAGTAGGTCCCTATTAGGGTCCCATGCCGTAAAGAGCCTTTACCTCCCCTGAACCTCCACATAGGTCTAATAAGAAAATTGGCAATAAAAACATGCCTCTCTGTCATGTTCTTCCAAGAACTATCTCTGTTACTTTTGGTCATGTGCTCATAATTAGAGGTAAAAGTATGTGTGTGTGGGGGTGCTACTATGTCTTAGCTGCAGTAAGTTAAAGTTAAAGCAGGCAATTTAGCCTTGTTTCATTCAAAGGTAAACTTCCAGAGTGCAACTCTTATCATGGGGTAAGAAAAGGCACAAGGGCTGTTACCACGCAGCAGATAAGGTTCAGTAAGTCCCTGGCCTCTTGTCAGTTTTGGGCACAATAATTACCCACCAGATGGGAGCAGGGTTAAATAGCCATATGCAGGGCTCTAGCTCAGAGTTTAATTTATTAGATCCATATGGAGATATTGGCTATTCGGGGGGGGGGGGGGGGTGCGTGTGCGTGCGCACGTGTGCTGACCTAACATATGATCTCATAAAAAATTATTGTTCTGTAAGTGAGACCCTAACCAGAAAAAAGTTTAGGAACCATTACCTAACAACTAGCTTACAGGATATTCATAGGATCAGGCACTCTCCACCCCTCTGTTCTACTGTGCATTGAATAATTAAAGATTAGTCAGGCTGGGGCAAAGGGTGGAGGGATGAGAATGTCTGAGTAAGATAAGGGAACTAACTCTTGAGTTTCCCACCCCCGGTATGAATATTGTAACTACTAAGCTATTATATACAAGTAGGAGAGTCGTGCCTCCCCCCCTCCCCCCCCAGTCATATTTTAGAAGAAAGGAGTGGCACATACCCCATTTTTGAGTGAAAAGTCATTGGTACTTACCTGCAAGAGAGGATTCCAGGCCATGAATCCCAACCTAAGTGAAGGTCCTTTGAAAGATCTGAGTAAAGAATCCAAGCTCCAAAAAAGGTGGAATTCCAGACAGCCCTGTTCTTAATGTTTCCCTACTAACTAGTTTAAGCATCCTCCTGCTTGTTGTGCTTGTTTTTGAGGCTCTCACTCCGAGGCATCTAATTTTCCTTATGCACTGCATATGGAGCCTAGGTGCTTATTGTGGGGCTTAGGATTCTACTACAGGGGCCAGGCATCTAAAAGTTAGGTGCTATTGTGCCCAGATCCCTTTTTTGGATATGGGCCTAAATAGTTTTCCCCTCCGACTACTACTTCTGTTTATGAACGCTTTCAGGTACAGAATATAGTTCAATGGCTTTTTTCATATATAAACATTTATAGTTTTAAATTTGGATTTTGCAAGAGAAAATGGGATAATAATCAGAAAATAATACTTCTGATATTTGAAGGTGTAGCTAGGTACATGGGAAATAGTTTTAAAATTTTGTTTTCCTTTTAACTTGGCCACAACATATCAGATGATGGTTTCTCTTAAACTCTTTATTTTCTGGAAAAAAAAAATTAGGAGTTGTAGGGCATTATTTGCATTACAATAGAACACCCCCCACCCCCCCAGTCAGAAGGACACTTAGCTGGGTGTTGCATACACAGGCAGCAACCCTTAAATGTTTCACTTAACCTGCAGGGGTTTAGGTTGTAGCCGTGTTAGTCTAAGGACATAGGCAGACAAGGTTCCTTGGGTGAATTTGAGATCTTTTATTAGACCAACCCAAATAGTTGGAGAATAGTTATTAAGCAAGCTTCCGGGTTCAAAAACCCTTCGTCAGGCTAAGGAAGTTTCAGCAGTTGGTGTGTGCTCTTCCTGGATGGAATCTTAACCTGGACACTTAACTTAGTGATGCTCAGATTGCAGCTCCTGAACTGCAAGTAGTTCTTCAGTTTACTACCTGCAGTTCTTGTCCAAAAATGTTACCATAGTACTGTTCATTTATTTGCTTTGTTTTTGCTTTTGTCTTGTCTTTTTTTTACTGCATCCACTGGCCATTTCTTGCAGTTGTTTCAAATTGTTTAAAAATGTATATACATAAATTGAGTAAATATCAACTGAAGTACTGTTTTTTGTTTGGGTTTTTTTTGTTATGAACTGGGGTGTTTGTCACAATTCACCTAGGGCAGTGATGTACAACCAGGGTGTTGTGACCTCCTGAGAAGGGTGCCACAGCACTTGGCCCCTCTGAGAGGAGATAAGCACTGGCTCCTCCACTTCTAAGCACCCTGTGCCTGCCCCAGCACACCACTCCCTGTGGCCCCTCCCACCAGCTCTGGCAGCACGGGAGGAGCAGGGGACCAAGCAAAGCTGAAAAGCACAGCAGCCCCCATCCCCTGGTAGCCCCTGCAAAGCCTACCCCTGCGCTCCTAGTGGCACAGTTTGCCATGAGGACATTCTGCCAGAGGTAGTAGAAGGGGCTGCGGGAAATGATGACTCCAGGCACCAGCATTCAGGTCCCCGGGGGAACAGCCATGGTAGCAGAGGCAACACTCACTCCTTCAGTTAGAGACAAGGCAGGGAGGGGGGAAAAGAGTGGAAAAAAACAGGGCACAACATGATTCTGCCCCTGCTGCCCTCACCTGGCACCAGCTTCTGCAGCCAAGGTCACTGTCACCTCCTTTCACCTCCAGCAGGGACCGCTGCCTCCTTCAGGGTCTAATGATCCATCCCTGAGCTCCCCAATCTGCTCCATCGAGCAGCCCCTCAGTGCCAAGCACCATACTCCAGCCCCTACCATGGTCTAAGGGTGCCATGCCCACCCTGCCATCCTGTGAGGCTCTTTTAGGGTGATGTGGGATGTTAGGAGGTAAGCACTGTAAGAAAATAATTAAATGAGGTGCCATTACGTTCCTAAAACCTATGGAGAGGTGCCTCGAATCTAAAAGGTTTGAGAACCACTGACCTAGGGCTATCTATGTTGTTCTGACTGTTTCATTAACACAGATACTGCTGACAGACATGGAAAAAAACCTCAAATGGCACTTCACTGGAAGAGGATCATGTCTGTTTGACCTGGCTCCCCAGCATCTATAGATCGCATGCTTCAGTGGGGCTTTTTAGCACTTTTATCTAATAGCTTCTGCTATTAGATAAAATAGCTATTAGATCAGCTATTAGACAAACACGACAAAAACTGAAGCGTATGAGCTATACAGATGCTGGGTGAGCTGGGTCAAACTGTTGTGATTCCTCTTCTGGGCATGCACTGCACTTGACATGGGGGCATGCTGAACTGAAAGGAAAGAGCTTGGGGGGGGGGGGGGGGGGGGAGGGGAAAAAGAGGGGAAAGGAAAGAGTTGGGGGGGGGGGGGGGTGGAGAAGAGGAAAAGGAGTGTTCCCTATGCCTGTAAGGAGGCCAGGCTGTTCATGTGGCTGCTGAGCCAATCAGGACTGAGTGGCACTGGCTTAATTTTGTATCTGAGTTGCACCATGTTGAAGGGGCTATTCATATATAAAATTAGATATTGTTAAGCATCTGAAGGGTTAGGGCCTAAGCACAGGAGAATAATAATAAGCAAATAAACCAGACAAGTGTGAAGGAGAACCTGGTACAAGTTAAAGAAAAATATTTAGGATAAGATAACAGAGGCAGTGGACAGACATCAGTTTCTAAGAACTGCTACTCTCCTGGCAGAAACCACAAGTGTACAGATATTCTCATTTTATCTCTTGGAACAAAACGGCTGCTCCAAGAAAAAAGTAACCCAAGTCCAACCAGGTAGAAATCACTCCTGGAAGAGTTCCTCAAGGGAAAAGTGAATATCTGCACACTTTCCCACAGCTTAAGTCCTCCTGGGAAGCAGAAGCAGTGGAGCTGCAGGAAAGGCTCCCATGCCTTCTGGAGTCTGAGAACACCCTAGTTTGGAGAAGGCACAAGGGACAGCTGCTCCAGGCCCTCTCAGACTGGAGGAGGAGCAGTTGCCAGCTGCTTTCTGTTGGTTCCTCACACACTGGATTCCCAGGTGTGAAAAGCGGGCAGAAGGCTTTGCCCAACTTCTTCATCCTTTTGGTTCCCAGGCACTTAGAGCCAAGTGGAAAGAGCAGCACCATGAGCCCTATGCCTGCTTCTCATTCTAGAGGCCATGGAGTGAGGCAGTCAGTGGGTTCTGCCCCATTACTTTGTCCACTCAGCTTCAGGGCACTGGAAGCCAAGCAGAGGAAGCGGTGCCATGAGCCTCCTGCCTGCTTCTCACACTGGAATCCTCACTGAGAAGCAGGCAGGGACTTTTAACTCACTGCTCCAGTTTCCCTGGGAATGGGAGGACTGGAGCAACCCATACTTTCCCAGACCAAGATCACCCTAGTCTCAGAAACGCACAAGGAACAAGGGAGAGATGTTTCCAAACTAGGGTAACCATCCATCCCTAATTGGGTGAGACAGTCCAAAAATGTAAAATGAAGTCCCAGGCTGAATGACTCCGGGACAGCATTTGTCCCAATTCCCCTCAAAATAGTTCCCATGAGTCACTTCCCAACCCCCAGCCTCTGGGGCTCTGTATCCCTGGTTGTACATCACTCGGAGACATTACAAGGTGCCCAGCCCAGCCCAGCAGCGCATGCTCCAGAAGGATGAGCCCCCCTTAGAACGTCCTCCTCAAGGGAAAGCAGCGTTCAGCCCCCTCTTACTGTGTGCGCATGCGCAGAGCTGGAGAGTGTGGGGGTAGATGGCTCTCCTTACCCCTCCCCCACTCCTGCAGCTGCCCCATGCTGGTGCCTTACATTACTCCCCCCACACACTTACTTCTTGTTGTACAGCTCCTTCAGGCAGTGCTAATGGCACAATACCCCCCACCCCATTTTTTTATGGCATGTGTCTTGCTTTTGCATTTTGAAAAGGTGATCGCCCCATTCCAGACTGAACTGTACCTCTCCCTTTTTCAGAACAATTTCTAGTGTTGGAAATTTTCCACTGCTAGAAACAAACTGTTGTACACAGTCTCCACACCAAATAACCGACTCTCTGAATGGTTTTAATGCATCACAAAACATTAAGTTATAAGTTTTAAGGAGGTATTTGGAGCAGAATATCAACTTTACTTTTATTTTTTTGGCATTTTAAGTAAAATCAAAAGTGCAAAAATTCAACTTCTGAGGCACTGCTGATTTGAGGGAAAAGTATTATATTCCCATTCCAGTTCAATCACTGCCATTCAGAAGTATAGGGCTCCTTTGATATTACTTGAAATACTTAATTGGGAGTGTTTCAAAGGGAAATTGAAACTGAGTGAAAGTGAAATTTAATTATAACATCTAGCTTTTTATATACAATGCTCTTCATTTCCCTGAAAAACACAACAGCTGGACTGGAGGTGTACAACTGTTGTCTTTGCAACTGAAGCTGTATTTACCTTTAAAACCAGAAGTAAACAATGTATTGGTTCCTTCATTTCCATTCCTATCTTCCCCTGTCTCTTTGTTCCATTTCACATAATGAACATACACAAATTTTTGTGGTAAGGTCTAACATTCAAATTGCACTAAATTAAGTTGGACTATTCTGGGACCACCCTGCTCTGTGACCTGTAGTCCAACCTATCCTACCTACATACCATACTAGGATGGCTTTCAACTTTATATTCAGTTCAAATATACATCGACCTCAGAATGCACAGATATATAGAAAGATAGAGGATGTACAGAAGGACCAATAGGCCTGCTGAGTTATATACTGTGAATGTTGAAGTGTAGGATGGATGAAGACTTATCTTCCAATCTATATAGGCCTTTAAATGTCATTGGAAAAATACCCATCAAGTATAGTAGCTTCTTTATGGACTCCACCTATCTCAAAAGCACTACTTTGGGGTATACAACCTGAGGATAGGCGTAGTCCACTTTAGGCAAATATGGTAGTGTTGATCTCTGTAGCCAAAATGTTTCTTCTAATTTCTGTATAGTCTTTGCCCATCCCACAAGGACATGTTGCACTTAAAATGAAAACTAGCTTTCTACTTCTGTTTTCTTGTAAATACCACAAGATGACAGTTGTATCCTGCACTGAAAAAAAATGCCTGAAACCCTCCAGGTGCACACCTTCTATATTCAATGAGGGTTGCAACTGGCCAAGTGAAGTTAGAGGAAGAATTTGGCAGAGAATTAGGCAAATCAGCTCTTTCACCGCCCTTTTTAGTGATGTTTGCAAGGAAATATTTGTAGGGGGGTAATTTTAGTTTTCTTTGCAGGTCTCTTAGACTAGTCAGTCATTGCATAGTAAAATACATAACAAGTGATATTTTTGCCCCTAAGCTATTGCTATTTGAATGATAAGCACATGGTCTGGAAGAAAAAAGGAAAGGAAAGGAATGTTGGAATCAAAAGTTTCTGTGGCAATCGGGACTAACCCCTGAGAAGAGTAAACAGAAGTGAAGTGGCAGTAGCAGCAGCACCTCCCTGCATAGGAAGGAATGGGGAGTAAAGGGTAGCAGAATAGAATATAAGATCACGGCATAAAGGAAAAACAGGACATAAACAAAATAAAGAGAAACAGAAAAAGTGAAAGAAGCCAACAAAACTAGGAAAAAACTGAAATTCTCCTAAAGAAATGAGAGCACTCTCAAAGACTAAATATTTAATTACACCTAGAATGTAAGTGGTCAATTGCTGCTTGACCCATCTTTAACTTGTAAAGTCAATCTTTATGTATAGCATTTGTTTTTCTTCAGTGTCATTAAGGGTAAGTGACAAAGAGTTGCCCCAGCCATGATCTTGCCACTGCCATTTCTCCTTCTATTCGTCTAACTTCAGTGATGATGGCAGAGTTCAAATTTAACAAGTATCCCATCCTTCACTCTGCTGTAAAAGCTGCCTTTTGGGTTCTCCTCATGACTTCTTGGCCCACGCAAGAGGATCACTAAAGAGTTTAGATATAACAAGGGAGTCAGTCACCCAGCCTGAAGAGGCTTATAGGAGTGTAATAGGGAAAAGTTAGAATCAACACCATCCCTAGTAGGAATAAAAGGTCTGATTCTCAGAATGCCTGCTTCCACTACATAAAAATTAGGCTTTTAATTTCTTAACCCTGATTTGTTAAAATTCTTGTAAAAGATCCTTACATTCTCTTTGGAGCTATGTTCAGGGATGGACCCAGGGAGGTTGCATTTTTACCCTTTGATTCCTGCTACACCCAAAGTTTAAACAAACTGGGCATGTATATCTGAGACTCTTAATGTGCATTAGACTATTTCTACTGCACATTAATGTGGCTGGCAAAAACCATGCTAATCTGAAGTATTTAAGTCTAATTCGTCACCTAAAAAGCGTTGATCTGTTCTAATGTGCAGTATCACCAATCATGGCGCATTGTTTAGTACCCGTAATAACGGGTACTAAACTTAATGCACCATAATTACAATGCATTCATGAACAGGTAGACGTGCCCATTGCCTGGTAGCATTTCTATTCAGACAGCAATAGAATTCATGGTTTATAATCTACCTAATTCCTTCTAAATTCATCATTCCACAGGTTTTAACAACCCTCTCTTCTTTTTAAGTCTCCAATGGTTCCACTAATCAAGCTAGACTTTATTCTGTAATTCTGCTGTTTGTTAGCTGTTCCTGATAATATAGCACCTATTTCACAGCCCTGCAGCCTGCTTTTAACTTTAGATAGAAACTTTAACTCAGGTGTGTAAATGTTAACTCAGATGAACATTACCTCAGGTGTGTATATAATTTTCAGTGAAGCATTGGAAGCACCGTCAAGATGCTCAAGAAGGCTAGATTTTGTTGTATGAAATCTGAGAGAGAGAGAGAGAGAGATGTTTAATTCTAATGACTATGGGATTAATTAAACATCTTTTGATTGTTTTTACCTAGTTCAAGGTGTTTTTATATACACAAATGTATGGTATAGCATATTAATGCCTATTTCAGCTGCTTTTTTTTTTTTGCTTCAGTCTTAAACTGAATAATATAGGCCTGGGCCTCTAGTATATTAGTAATGCTTCTAGACTTTTTAACTGGAGAAAAGTGTGTGTTATATTATATGTGAAGATGTACCATACCACTTGCACCCCACTTTTGAAAAATCTTAGATCCACCCATGCTAAATTAATTTAACATTTTTGTCTGTTGTCTCAAAAACCAAAGGTCTGGTGAATGACCAAATAAAATTCAGAGGTACAGATGCTTGGTGAGGAAGTTGTGTATTTAGTGCACTGCTAGAATACAGGGTTGCAGGCTTGTCTCCCAAGTATTTGGAACACCCATGGATTTACCAGTATAACTATGATTAAGTGCAAGGCATAGAATTATTGGCAGTTCAGTAATTTACCTGTTTATCTTGGTTCATATTCACACAGTAATGCTTATCCAGGTATTCTAAGGCAGGACCTCTGAACTCAGCTGATTGGAACCCCAATTCCTCATCCATAATGGTTTTTTGAATATGTGTCAAGTCAGCTTACTCACATCCACATTATGGTTCTCAAAACTCAGTTGCAGTGCCATAATCTATAGGAGCCTATTTCAGGGATCAATTTGTGGTATACTGTGAAACAACTTGTCTTTCCTCAAAGCCCCTAAAGGCAGACGTTATTGCATCACACCATTACACATGGCTATATCAGCCCAACATACCGCTCAGTTAAACTTGCTTGTAGTGGTATAAAACCAGTCATAAGTCCCTACAGGATGAAGCACATGTATTGTTGTACAAGGCAGCTGTACAAGAAGACTCCAGAGGTCCTTTTGGGATGCACAGTCTTGCAGATCCAAAGGACATAGGTAATAGTGAGGAATCAGACATAACAGATTTGGAAGACTACATCCCAAATCTGATGACACAATACAAGCTGTAAGTGCTGCCCTATCCTATACAACAAAATCCCTAGCAGAGAAAAATCTAGCACTGAGTACTGGGATTATCATTCCACAGACATGGGATGAGTAAAAATTGCTCCAGAGCTTGAAGGAGAAAAAGCAGACCTACTCGAAAACTATGGGAGATGCTTGACTCAACCGGCTGGGACAACAGCACACAATTGAGCCCATATTGCTACAAAAATTGGTTGCTATTGCTATTAGGTGAATTAAGTGGCAGGCTACTGGTGGCAATTTGTGATAATAACAGACAAGGAAGTTTATGCATACTTTACTGACATCAAGAAAGTGTTTGAGATTATATCCATCTTCCAGAGAATGAGATACTCAAATTTGAACTGGGGCCACTTATTTTCCTTCCTGAAGGAACTAGTATATGTCAACTGCAAGGGATACTACTCACTTTGTTTGCAGGGTTTAATGGACTACGGGGGGAGGACAACGCACACAAAAGTAGGAAGAACAGTTAAACGCACATCATGCAAGAATTCTGAGACCAAGTATTAACATGTCTGGATAAAACAGGATCTTATGCTTTCCCATGGCATCTCTTGACCACAGTATCATTTGCCCAAATATTTTAAGGGCCTTTATACTTATCCTTTTCTGAAACTGAGCCATACATTAATACAGGACCATATGAACAGTCAGTTGTGGAATAGGGATACTGTGTTTTGGGAGGGCTGAAGACAAAGTGGCACTGCCTCCACAATCCTTTATACCTAAATGCTCCGAATGCTAAATGTGTTATTGTGCCCTGCCCAAACAGGCAAACCTAGAAGCAAATATAGTACAACGTGGACGCTGATAGGCTCCATAACCAATTCCCTGCAACAGGAAAGTGCCTCTATAAGCAACATGAACCTTGGGCCAAAGCAGGATAAGAAATGTAAAGGTAACCTCAGTGCTAGCATAGGAATCTAACTAACGTGTAACGTTGCAGGTTGCATAATACAACTCAGGATAACATGTTAGGAGGCAATAAGGGTTAGATATGCATTCCGTAATTATTTTTAAAACTCTAGAAGCCCCTTCCACCTAATGTACATACAGTATTTGTTCTCGATATATTTTGGATTATGATAGATAAAGCACTGATTTGTCTGCCAAATTATGTGAGTGTTACCAGCTAGTTTGGGGTAATGGTGCCATTTAAGTAAATTGTATAGGTTGCTTACACTGTTTTTATACATTAATAAAATCATTTTGCAAACCCACAGCTTCCTCTTTCATTAGAACTGAGCAGGCAACAGTAGGCATTTCAAACAACAGTGAACTTTATTAAACTCACAAACATGAATAATTAATAACTTAACAAGTATGGCTGCCTATCAACAGCAAACAAATTCTATTTAAATATTGTAGAACAATATGCATAAACAAATTAACAATTTTCCCCCCTACACTTAAAAAACAACAAAAACACACACACACAACCAAAAAAACCCACAACAGACAACCCATCCTCTTTACTCACTTCTATACCTTTTTGTGCATGTAAAATGAGACGGGATTGCTTGGTTCCAGTCCTAAGAGACCACCTTTTTAACTTCTTATGCTATCTGCTGGTCAAATTCATGTATAAGAAGACACCAGAAGAACAATGTCATGAAGCAGTCCCAGCACCTTATGGAGAATTTGAAGAGGCACTGGTGTGGGGGGAAAAAACAAAACAAACAAACAAACAAAACGTGCTTATACTTGCATCTGTATTAGTGCCATCACCGGTAGCAGGGTCTGTCCAACAGCATAAGCTTATCCTGTGAGCATAGTTAGCATGAGCACCAAACTTTACAGGAACTCTCTTGAGTGTGGGCATTTGCACTTATTCAACACCATCATAAATATTGTTGAAGTTCTATTGTATGAAGTACTGCCTTCTTCATAACCTCTCTCCAAAGCTTCTGCTCCCCCTATGCCAAGTACTCTTTCTGATCCTGCTCTTACTCGGCCTATTTACACAATGGTTCAGAGCATTTCATTCCTCTGCTTTACATTTTGGATACATCATCCATGACATGCTTCCTTTTAACCCATTACTACATCATCATCTATGTGCTGAAGATAGGTACTCGGATCTTGTAGTGCCTGCAATAAGGTATGCAAAAAGTCCACTCATTACCTTTTTTGAAGGTTAGAAATGGTAACAAGTAATACGCTGAGTCTCCAAGCTGTTTGCATCTTTTTTCATTTCTGGTTATGTCAGCCCTGCTCATTCTTGAGATTAGTGGGCTGGAAACAGCAGACGAAAGGCAACAATTGTTAACAACCCAATTAAGTATGGGGACTTTTTTGTGCATCTTTTTAAATCATATATTTAAGATGGTTTATAACTCCCAATGGGCAGCAACAGACCCATCCCAGGGTCTGTCTCTCTTTCAGGTAGGGGACAAACATTTTGGAGATACCTGGAAGGAGAAGAGATGGCATTTGGGGACACTTACAGTGGTCCCCTCAAAAGTATGTCCAGGGGCTTCTTTGAAGTCTGGTGACAGCAAAACATAATTGAATAAAAGTTTCTTGTCAATAGTCAGTGGTCCATCAAGTTTTCTTTGACCAACTACACTACCTGAACAGCTAGAATTTCTGCTGTAATACAAATTTAAAGATATCACTTGCCATGAACATTGACAACCTGCTTACCTAGCTGTTGTTTTAATGGTGTCTGTAAACTAGAATCTACTCAACCACCGCCAGCACTGAAATATTTGGCCTTTGCCATCTAGGGCTTCGCAAAGCTCTCTGCAGAAACTGTGACAGAGCAGCTCCCACAGAAACAGACTAATGCAGCTGGTGACTTTCCACATTAGCCAACATAATTTGAACTCTAATGAATTATACTTACCCTTAAAAATCTTATGTTCAAACTCTTACTAAAATTTATTCTATAAACACTATGCTTATGTGGACTGTAAAAATGTATTAGGAAAAAAAAAGTTGTGGTACTTTTAGAGTGATGTTATAACCAGAATAGTTCAGGAAATCATATGAGGGGGCAAGAATATTTTTTGGGATGGTACCATACTTACCAGAATCCAAGACAACCCTTAATGTAAGATGACTCCCTAATATTAGATTGTATACTTGAAAATTATAATACATTTTTCATGTCTAGAATCTAATTAATTGGCAGATCATTTTTAAAATTTGTCCCCCACCACTACCGTAGCAGGGAAAGCAGCAGCAGGGGGAATAGGCAGCAAGAGAGACAGTGAAGAGGGAGGTAAAGGAGGAAGCAGTGGGTGGGGGGACACAGGCAGCTTGCCCCTTCCTTCTTGTCCCTCCACATTTACCCCCCTTTTGTGCCCATCCCCCCACCTGCTGCCTCAATCCCCCGCCCTTCCCATCTCCCCCCACCATAGCTTCTTCCCCACCTGCAGCCTCTACCCTCCTCGCCCTCTACTTACCCTTACTCCAACAGCAGCAGATTCCATCCCTGCTTCAGCCTGAGGCACAGGGCTACAGCTCTAGTCTGGCCCCATAGCAGTGGCAGGGAGCCTGCACTGCTGCTACAGGGCCTGGCCGAAGCAGGAATAGAGCCAGCCAGCACTGGAGCAAAGATAAATGGAAAACAAAAGGTGAGGGGTGGGGCAGAAGGGGCCTGAGGATGCTGGAATGCACAGATGGCACCAGGAAGATGGGTCTGGGAAAGGAGATTGGGGGGGGGGGGGGGGGGGGGGGCAGGGCCCAAGGCAGCTGTGGGGTGCCCCAGGGTTGGGGCCAGAGCCATAGCAGTTGCCACCCCATAAATCAATTGAAGAGGAGGAGTTTTTTTTCTGCATATTAAAACCTTATCTTGGAATCAAATAAATACAGTATCTTTTACTGGATGGCTGGGAGAGATTTCAGACAAGTTTTTGAACACAAAGTACTCTGCTTTACATCTGAGAAAGCTCAAGCTGTGTCTGCTTCTAAGTAACGAGTAGGGCAATAACCTGTGAAAAATCTCTATATGTAAATAAAACAGCCTGCCTAAAGGAATAGAGCAGAGCTATAAAAAGAGCAGAGATATTATTGTGGTTAGGGAAAAGACAAGAGAATGGCACTAGGAAGGATAAACTGGTAAGTGAAAGAGCAAGATCCTTTGGGGGGGGGGGGGGGGGGGGGGGAAGAAGGTTGTAGAGTGCAGAGTTGAAGGTAGATTTTGATAAGCCATAAAGTCAGTGTCTGTATTTAATCCCTGGTTTTGATGTCCGGTAAAACAAATTAGGAACGTTAGGTCTCAGGCCCATCTTCTGAAGGCGTTTTGTAAACTTCATTTGAGCATGAGAATTGCAAGGTGAGAAAGCAGTTGTTTTACGAAACGTGCTCTCCCATCTGTGTCTACGCGTCTCTGTCCTTTAACTTTTTCCTGAGTTTGTTCATTCTGCAGTGTTGTTTTTGCTTAGTTTCACCCACATAGTTTCAATGAGGGCATTTGGTATATCTCATACAGCATACCACATTCTGGGACAGCCATGTGTAGGATCCATGGATCATGATGGTTGTGGGGAGTGTATAGTATGGTAGCAGTTGAGATGAATTGACAGGTTTTAAATTTCTTGAAGGCATGAATGTTCCATTAGATACATGTAGATCAGCTGGGAGTTGCTTCTGACCATGAGTTGGGCCAGGTTCACAGGTTGCTTGAGAGCCAGAAGCAGGAAAGCTGGGAATATTTCTCTCAAGTTCTGATCCTTTTCAACTGTAGGCTATAATTGAGGATCCTTATCAGTTCCAGGGTGGGATGGGACATGACAACCAGGGGTGGGTCAGTGGGGGTTTGCGTTGCAGGTTACTGGAGACCACCATACTCACAGACAAAAAATAAAAAACAGTAGTCATCCCAAACACCAAGAAAGGAGTAAATTATATAGTCAGGCCCTCAAATACCACTCATCAGCTCCAAGGAGAATGCTCGTGACACTTGACTCCCCACCCTGAAAAAACGCTTTGACCCAGCAATAACGCTTCAGCAGG